TTGTATTACCAAAGTGGTGGAAAGGCTGGGCTTCGCTGCATCCATAGAAAGAGGTCAAGGGTGCTGGAGATTAAGTCAAAATCTCACCTTACTGTCCCCTTTTTGTTTGCCTCCTTTTTGATTTAACGACGGTGTTGATGATGCTAGAAGGCAATTAATCAAATATGTTTAGGTCTCATTCATCGTAAACATGAATTAACTGAAAATTAATTTGGAAATTCATAATATTAATATTTGCAAACATCCGTATATGTTGCAACGTCTGAATGCATCTTTTGAAGACGTTTTAAATCTGTTTCCTTATGAACTTGGAACAAGAACTTGATTTCTCAATGTGTTATTACATCTTTTTTTGTTAACTGGGTGAAATTCCAACTAACGTTCGCCATCATTTCTTGGGTGAGGTAGCTGACCTGGTCTTGGTTTTGAATCCTCTCTCTTTTCTGGCAATACTTTTTCCTGCTTTTTTGATGATTTAATGCTTGGTTATTGATTGCTAGCCACTGGCAAAGTACAATAACCTCAATCTTATTTCATCATAATACCAGCTTATTTTGTCCACTGATGAAGGGTTGTCATCACAGATAAACCAAGTTGAAGAGATTGTTAAGATGGCAGTTAGTGCAGACTTTCATGTTCAAAGGTTTCTACCCAGTAACTAACCTGACCGTAAGGTCTAAATGTACATAACGAAAACATGAACACAACGCTAAAAAAAAACAACTGTGTTATCGGCAGTAAACACTATTTCTATGGTAACCAATGTCATAGATAATGATCATCAAGTTTTGTTCAACAAAGATTGTGAATTAACCAAATACATGTATCCACAAATGTAAGTATTATCTTGAATGCTTACTGCAGTTTTGTGTACATTGCCAAACATTACTTGTCAATATCTTGGGACATTGGTTCCTTTACATGCACACATACATGTAACTACATGTACTTCACAGTGCAAGCATCAGTCTATCACCTAAACAAAGGATCTATATCAAAATTCAACTATACCTTGTGGTTCATCAATTTTTGCCTTCTTATTATCTTTTTTAATTGAATTTGTGACTGGTAAAGTTGCTTCTAATTCCCCTGACTTAGAACTCTCAGTAGATGATTCTGTGTCATTACTCTCTTGTACTTTCTTAGCCGCTTTGTTCCTTGACAGTCCTGTGGAACCCTGCGAGCTATCTGCCATAGAACCGGCTGTTTTTGACGTGTCTACTGAAACTTCCATGGATTCATCCGAGCTTGAGTCATCATCAGATGATTCTGTTTTCTTGCTTTCATCTCTTTTATTAACGTTTGACTTTTCCACTTTCTTTGGTTCACCTTCTTCTTCAGAGCTTGATTCTGATGAACTGTCATTTTTGGATTTTGGTGCTTTGCTTTTCACCTTTCCATTCGCTTTCGATTTTTTTACCTTCTTCTTTGGTTGATCTTCTTCAGACCTTGATTCTGATGAGCTTTCCTCTTTAGATTTCGCTGGTTTGTTTTTCTCTTTTCCATTCACATTTGATTTTGTTACTTTCCTAGCGGGTTCATCTTCGTCAGAACTTGATTCTGATGAGCTTTCCCCTTTAGATTTCGCTGTTTTGGTTTTCTTTTTTCCATTCATGTTCGATTTTGTTACTTCCTTTGTATGGTCATCTTCTTCTGAACTTGATTCTGACGAAATGTCATGTTTGGATTCCACTTTGTTACTTTTTTCTTTAATATTTGTCTTAGTTACTTTCTTTGCAGGTTTTTCTTCTTCTTCTGAGCTTGATTCTGACGAACTGTCAGCTTTGGATTCCACTTTGTTGCTTTTTTCTTTAACAATTGTCTGAGTTACTTTCTTTGCGGGTTTTTCTTCTTCTTCTGAGCTTGATTCTGACGAACTATCATCTTTAGATTCCACTTTGTTGCTTTTTTCTTTAATATTTGTCTTAGTTACTTTCTTTGCGGGTTTTTCTTCTTCTTCTGAGCTTGATTCTGACGAACTTTCAGCTTTGGATTCCACTTTGTTGCTTTTTTCTTTAACAATTGTTTTAGTTACTTTCTTTGCGGGTTTTTCTTCTTCTTCTGAGCTTGATTCTGACGAACTATCATCTGTGGATTCCACTTTGTTACTTTTTTCTTTAACATTTGTCTGAGTTACTTTCTTTGCGGGTTTTTCTTCTTGTTCTGAGCTTGATTCTGACGAACTGTCATCTTTGGATTCCACTTTGTTGCTTTTTTCTTTAACATTTGTCTTAGTTACTTTCTTTGCGGGTTTTTCTTCTTCTTCTGAGCCTGATTCTGACGAACTATCATCTGTGGATTCCACTTTGTTACTTTTTTCTTTAACATTTGTCTGAGTTACTTTCTTTGCGGGTTTTTCTTCTTGTTCTGAGCTTGATTCTGACGAACTGTCATCTTTGGATTCCACTTTGTTGCTTTTTTCTTTAACATTTGTCTTAGTTACTTTCTTTGCGGGTTTTTCTTCTTCTTCTGAGCCTGATTCTGACGAACTATCATCTGTGGATTCCACTTTGTTACTTTTTTCTTTAACATTTGTCTGAGTTACTTTCTTTGCGGGTTTTTCTTCTTGTTCTGAGCTTGATTCTGACGAACTGTCATCTTTGGATTCCACTTTGTTGCTTTTTTCTTTAACATTTGTCTTAGTTACTTTCTTTGCGGGTTTTTCTTCTTCTTCTGAGCCTGATTCTGACGAACTATCATCTGTGGATTCCACTTTGTTACTTTTTTCTTTAACATTTGTCTGAGTTACTTTCTTTGCGGGTTTTTCTTCTTGTTCTGAGCTTGATTCTGACGAACTGTCATCTTTGGATTCCACTTTGTTGCTTTTTTCTTTAACATTTGTCTTAGTTACTTTCTTTGCGGGTTTTTCTTCTTCTTCTGAGCCTGATTCTGACGAACTATCATCTGTGGATTCCACTTTGTTACTTTTTTCTTTAACATTTGTCTGAGTTACTTTCTTTGCGGGTTTTTCTTCTTGTTCTGAGCTTGATTCTGACGAACTGTCATCTTTGGATTCCACTTTGTTGCTTTTTTCTTTAACATTTGTCTTAGTTACTTTCTTTGCGGGTTTTTCTTCTTCTTCTGAGCCTGATTCTGACGAACTATCATCTGTGGATTCCACTTTGTTACTTTTTTCTTTAACATTTGTCTGAGTTACTTTCTTTGCGGGTTTTTCTTCTTGTTCTGAGCTTGATTCTGACGAACTGTCATCTTTGGATTCCACTTTGTTGCTTTTTTCTTTAACATTTGTCTTAGTTACTTTCTTTGCGGGTTTTTCTTCTTCTTCTGAGCCTGATTCTGACGAACTATCATCTGTGGATTCCACTTTGTTACTTTTTTCTTTAACATTTGTCTGAGTTACTTTCTTTGCGGGTTTTTCTTCTTGTTCTGAGCTTGATTCTGACGAACTGTCATCTTTGGATTCCACTTTGTTGCTTTTTTCTTTAACATTTGTCTTAGTTACTTTCTTTGCGGGTTTTTCTTCTTCTTCTGAGCCTGATTCTGACGAACTATCATCTGTGGATTCCACTTTGTTACTTTTTTCTTTAACATTTGTCTGAGTTACTTTCTTTGCGGGTTTTTCTTCTTGTTCTGAGCTTGATTCTGACGAACTGTCATCTTTGGATTCCACTTTGTTGCTTTTTTCTTTAACATTTGTCTTAGTTACTTTCTTTGCGGGTTTTTCTTCTTCTTCTGAGCCTGATTCTGACGAACTATCATCTGTGGATTCCACTTTGTTACTTTTTTCTTTAACATTTGTCTGAGTTACTTTCTTTGCGGGTTTTTCTTCTTGTTCTGAGCTTGATTCTGACGAACTGTCATCTTTGGATTCCACTTTGTTGCTTTTTTCTTTAACATTTGTCTTAGTTACTTTCTTTGCGGGTTTTTCTTCTTCTTCTGAGCCTGATTCTGACGAACTATCATCTGTGGATTCCACTTTGTTACTTTTTTCTTTAACATTTGTCTGAGTTACTTTCTTTGCGGGTTTTTCTTCTTGTTCTGAGCTTGATTCTGACGAACTGTCATCTTTGGATTCCACTTTGTTGCTTTTTTCTTTAACATTTGTCTTAGTTACTTTCTTTGCGGGTTTTTCTTCTTCTTCTGAGCCTGATTCTGACGAACTATCATCTGTGGATTCCACTTTGTTACTTTTTTCTTTAACATTTGTCTGAGTTACTTTCTTTGCGGGTTTTTCTTCTTGTTCTGAGCTTGATTCTGACGAACTGTCATCTTTGGATTCCACTTTGTTGCTTTTTTCTTTAACATTTGTCTTAGTTACTTTCTTTGCGGGTTTTTCTTCTTCTTCTGAGCCTGATTCTGACGAACTATCATCTGTGGATTCCACTTTGTTACTTTTTTCTTTAACATTTGTCTGAGTTACTTTCTTTGCGGGTTTTTCTTCTTGTTCTGAGCTTGATTCTGACGAACTGTCATCTTTGGATTCCACTTTGTTGCTTTTTTCTTTAACATTTGTCTTAGTTACTTTCTTTGCGGGTTTTTCTTCTTCTTCTGAGCCTGATTCTGACGAACTATCATCTGTGGATTCCACTTTGTTACTTTTTTCTTTAACATTTGTCTGAGTTACTTTCTTTGCGGGTTTTTCTTCTTGTTCTGAGCTTGATTCTGACGAACTGTCATCTTTGGATTCCACTTTGTTGCTTTTTTCTTTAACATTTGTCTTAGTTACTTTCTTTGCGGGTTTTTCTTCTTCTTCTGAGCCTGATTCTGACGAACTATCATCTGTGGATTCCACTTTGTTACTTTTTTCTTTAACATTTGTCTGAGTTACTTTCTTTGCGGGTTTTTCTTCTTGTTCTGAGCTTGATTCTGACGAACTGTCATCTTTGGATTCCACTTTGTTGCTTTTTTCTTTAACATTTGTCTTAGTTACTTTCTTTGCGGGTTTTTCTTCTTCTTCTGAGCTTGATTCTGACGAACTGTCATCTTTGGATTCCACTTTGTTACTTTTTTCTTTAACATTTGTCTTAGTTACTTTTTTGGCGGGTTTTTCTTCTTCTTCTGAGCTTGATTCTGACGAACTGTCATCTTTGGATTCCACTTTGTTACTTTTTTCTTTAACATTTGTCTTAATTACTTTCTTAGCAGGTTCCTCTTCCTCTTCTGAACTTGACTCTGATGAACTGTCAGCTTTGGATTCCATCTTGCTGTCTTTCTCTTTTGCATTCATTTTAGAACTTGTTGCTTTCTTAGCTGGTTCATTGTCCTCCGAACTTGATTCTGAAGAAGATCTCTTAGCACTAGATTTCGATATTTCCATGCTTGAGGTGGTAATGTTCTTTGTAGCTTCATCATCTTCATCAGAGCTTGAATCAGACGAAGTCTTATGTGAGTTTAATGCCTTATCTGCTTCTTTCTTCTTTGCAGTTTCCTTCTTAACAGCTTTTGATTTTGTTTCTCTTTTCAATGATTCCTCTTCCTCAGAACTGCTTTCTTCTGAATCATCTGAACTGGACGAGTCTAATGGAAAACAGAAATTAACTGTTAGAAGCAGAACTACAAAAAAGCTACACTGTACAATCACAATCCATTTTCAATGATTGTTTCCTAGATTTGAACTCCTCCACTAACAATATCACACAGAGAAAGATACAGCTAAAACCCCTCAGCATTTTGCCAGGTTCATTACCCATAAAACATTATTTGCCAGTCTGCTCATAATCAGGGCTCAAAAATAACAAAACCATTCCTGCCTTTTGCTCACCAAGTCAAAAAATTAGTCACCGGAAGGTATAAGAACAGAAAATAAGAATAAGACCTCATTACCATTGGTTCGCGGTTTCTACTTGCAGCCCAAGGACAGACAAATTACTCTCCATTGAAATGACTCAATAAATAAAAATACAAAGGGAAGAATAATGAAAGACCTGTGAAACACAATCTTTCCACAATTTGTGAGCAAACAAAGTATATAGAACACTTCAGAAGCTAAGTTTGTAGGTTACGTGAGCTACAAACATACATGTACACTTATCAGAGAGATCTGGTAGCCTAATAATATTCCTTCAATAGTTGTAACCATTGGTCTCCTAGTCCAGCAGTCTGGGTTTCTACAGTGATGGGTCACTAAGCGGACAGTTAAGATGAACTTTCAAAATGCCTCTACCTGCCCAGATGTTAATGGGTACAAGCATGGTTAATAGAGGGGAATGGTTATGAAACCGGA